TCCGAATTAAAGCCCATATTCCTGAAGCCCAAAGTCATTCTCAGCCTCAATTCCGGAACCCTAGAGACCATGGAGTATTGAAGACTATAAATACTTGTCATTTAGGTCGTTTTTAGAGAGAACCAATTCATACTTTACAGAAACCCTTTTCCTTTAGCCGTTTTTATGCAATTTTTGTAGAAGATTATTCAAGTCCGAGTTCTTCAATAGAGAAGCTTTCTTCATCTCTTTTTTTTACTGTTTTTCACTACTTTTATTAAAACCAATGATGATGTCGACCTCAGCCATGTCTGAGTAGATCTCGAGTTGGGCTTAGGGTTCCCAAAAGGGGCTCTCATAATCGATTAAGACATTTAGGTTTATAGATCTGGGATTTCGACCTGTTCTCTGTTTATTCTTGTTCTTATTGCATGTATGCTTGATTGATCACCTAGTATCTGATCTAGATAGTAAGTGTTGCGAAAGTTTTCATTAAGTATCAGCCCTAGAATGAAATACGCAATTTTTCCGTAGGAGTGGAAACCTACCTGCGGCGAGATCATGAGTATTGACGAGTCTTGTGCAGCTCTTGCGTTCTCTCCCTTCCAGGGCCAGAGTGGAAACCTACTGGTCAGGGTTGCGAGAAACAGTTGGTTATGATCACGACAGTGACGTAGTCATACCGCCGTACTCTAGCTCTAGAACCACCTATATATTGATATCCGTCAATCCCAATCTATCTACCCTAGTGTCAAAACCGATAATGATCCCTTAGAGTTCCCAAAAGCTCAGCGTTTTTAGCCATAGTTTACAAACCAATCGATTTTTATTTGCTTATTTAGATCTGCATTTCAATTGCCTTAGTTCGATATTTTACTTGCTTTACTTGCTTTCTATTCAATTTTTTCTACTTGCTTTTAGGATAGATTTATTTGCTTTCTTCTGTTTTAGTTTAATTCGTGACAAACAACCAACCTTTAAAACCAATTTAGTCTAGACATAAAGTTAAAAACCGTAGAAGAATACCAGGCACACAAATCTCTGTGGATTCGATCCCTAAATACTACAATTGATTAGCTGTGCACTTGCGGCTTTCATTTGTTTTGTTAAGGGTAAAACTTATTCCCTCACACAGTTGACACGACATCAACTTCCCCACAACACAGTTATCCCAGAGCGGAGCTTCTGAAAGGATTGACTCCGGGACCTGAAAAACCTGCACACCGTCGACCTCTTTTGCTTCTAGGTCAAACTTTTGTAAACCTCTTTTCTCCTTCGCCACTTCAGACCACTTTGGTGTAACCTGTTCCGTAATCGGATCAGATACACCCTTTCCCGTACCCACTGGTTCCTCCCCTGTAGATTGTTCCAGCGAGATTTGAGTCGCAGAGACATCCTCCAAAACATGCACCTCTTCCACACCATTCGAAACTGACCCCTCCACTTGTTGTAGTTTTGCCGGTGATCCCTCTGGCATCGCAGGAGCCGTCGGATCCGACGTCTCCATGTCTCCGCCGCCCTTACTTGGGCAGGAAGTTACTTGGGCAGGAAGAAGAAGAAACCCTAGTCGCCTCTGTGATCGCCAAAATCGCTCTTGCTGACGTGTACTTCGATATACATCTCTTTTCTACGCAATAACGTTTTTCATACACCTATTTTTTGTTTCCTCTGTATTTTTTGATTTTTTATTTTCATTTTAGTTGCTATTTTCTATACAAAATTTAGTTTAATTTGATGTTTTGTGACTAGTTGTATTCTTCTTTTGTAACAATTTCTACTCTACATTAGTTCCTCTAATTGGTTGATTTATTTTTAGTTTGGTACTCGAACATTTTAATGTTTTAAAAAAAAACTAGAGGAACTGAGGAAGTAACCTTCTGCTGATTTACGAATTTTGATAGTTGCTTTAGTTTTTTACATTTTCGATTTTTGTATTTTCTCATAAAATCTGACGTAACATACATACTTCTGTCAAAACATAGGTCACAGAACCAACTTTCACTTTAAACCATTTTAAACCCCAAAGTCTAAGGCATCCTAGTGCTGAGCAAACTGTGGTTAGAGGAGCGAACAAATGTGCAATATTTCCTCATTGGTTACTCGGTTTTTCAGTTTAGATAAGATTACCAATTCTTTTGTATATGATTGGCTATATGTGTAGTCAATTGTTGATACTTACAAACTAAACAGTATTTCCACGGATTGATTAATAAATAATTTTTTAGTATACAGAAACAAAAACATATACATTCAATCAAGCTCTTGGTACGTAGGACCGTAGGAGAATATTTGTGTGAACTATTTTTGAATCGGTCAAGCATCATCAATGAATTTTAAAATACATCTTGCTTCCTGCGCTGAGTCAATTTAATGTTAGAATATATATCTTCCCATTGTGACAAAAAAACAAGAATATGTCTTCCCACATGGTGAATACATGTAAAAATTATAATAACATGATTTCTTGTGATCCGCCTATATAATATAATCTTGTGATCCGAATGCGAAGTATAAATATGACCTTGCTTTCGGAAAGGTGGATAAAAAATTGGAAATTCGTTAAACAATAGATAAGTGCTTCATTTAGGAAATTTTGATTGATTTTATTAAGTTATTATGTACCCAGTCTAACTCAAACCGGTGGTTTCTTTTTTCATGTCATTGTGGAAAGTTCAAATTGATAATGCAAGTAAAATGGTGAAGTTGTTTCACTCAATTATGTAAGTTTTGAACCTTCACCCATTAATCCATCCTGATTTCTGAAATGGACAAGCTATAAAATATTCATAAGAAAATAGTTTCAAAAGCAAATTGTTCTTTACATAAAATTAGATCTTTTCTGTCTAATAATTCATTCCCTAATTTAGAAACTATTTGGGATCGATAAATAATTAATATTAAGAATACGCAACCGAGTAATTGCATAAGCATATGACGAATCAAGCCAGCTTACGTATAAATAGATGGTAACAAGATGCAACGAGCAAACTTCCCGAAGGAGTACAAGAAGATCATTGCACCAACCTACTCAAACGGATGTTTCAGTGGCGTCCTAAGGAACCTTAACACAACAAAAAATCTCTTACACACTCTCTCTCTCTCTCTCTCTCTCTCTCTCTCTCTCTCTCTCTCTCTCTCTCTCTCTCTCTCAGACTACCACATTTTAGTGAGAGAAATACTCACAAACTCGTAGAAACACTCACATGCATATACGTGATATCACTAGCATAATACATTTTGCATTCAATATGTTTTCTAATTCCTCCTTGGGCTGTATGCCTGCATTTAACTTAGATGTTAAAAATCTTCATGAAATATTCGATCCTCTGGTGTTTTCTGAGGCTATGTGTGACATCCCAAACCTTTAAAATCCAAGAGAAAAAAAAATCATAAGTATGAATAAAGGTAAATTTGTTCTTCTCCACCATAGACCTAATGAGCTCGACCCATTCTCTATATAAAGGCCAGCAACTTTCTTTTGAAAGTCACAAAGAGTTAACGCTGTAAAACTCAGTAAAAACCCTGTAGCATCAGTTTAAAATTAATCCGAGTAAGGATTTTGCTAAGTCGTTTGCGAACAACTCAGATCGAGCTAGGTGCCGATTTTTATACCTCTAGAAAGATCTCGATGCAGGGAATCCATAGCAGTTTGCAGATCATAAATCCGAGGTAAGCTCCGTCTGATATGCAAGCTGAAAGTTGAAAAAAATTATTTTTTCTGCAAACCTAGAAAATTTTGTAGATCTGATTTTTTTTTTCCAGTTTCGCAGAGCCAACTTGAAAAAGGTTTTGCTGTCGATCCAGAAAGATTCAGATAGTGATCCACATACCGATCTGTAGATCTCAGATCCTTCTTTCCTGATCAACTTTCAGATCCAGTTGCTGAGGTAAATCGCGAAAGTTGATCTGAAAATAATCTCATCAAATTTCGTGATTTACCTCGGAAACTGGATCTGAAAGTTGATCTGGAAAGAAGGATCTGAGATCTACAGATTGGTATGTGGATCGCTATCTGGATCTTTCTGGATCGACAACAAAACATCTCTTAAGTTGGTTCTGCGAAACTGTGAAAAAAATCAGATCTACTGAACTTTCAAGGTATGCAGAAAAAATAATTTTTCGCTAACTTTCATCAGCTCGCGTATCAGACGGAACTTACTTCGAATTTATGATCTGCAAACTGCTACGAATTTCTTGCAGCGAGATCTTTCCAAAGGTATAAAGATCATCACATAGCTCGATCTGAGTTGTTCGCAAACGACTCAGCAAAACCTTGTTCAGATTAATTTTAAACTGATACCAAGTTTCACTGTTTTAATTCTTTATAGTTCTCAGAAAAAAGTGACTAACCTTTATATAGAGAGGAGATCGAGCTTATTAGATCTAAGGTAGAGAATAAATGACAAATTTATCCTTATTCATACTTTAGAATTATTTTTTATCTCTTGAACTTTAAAGATTTGGGCTTATGATGTCACAATTTGACGGTTTCTTTCTTGGTGCATGCCCACTTTTCCCTATCCATCGAATTATCGATTACCATCAACTCCAAAGATCACATACAAAGTGCAAATACCAAAATTTCATTCTTTGTTATTGGTTTATATATTTTATAGAATCAAGTACATGTGACTAAATTACTCTTTTCTTTTTATTTTATATTTCTTATTCGATCATAATAAGAAATAATCAATTATAGTTATTATTTGATATGAATAGTTGACTACTCTTCTAATTTGACTATTACTATTTTCATAATTATTTACTTAATTTAAATTATCATATATTATATGACAAACATCCATTCTTGACTAAAAATCTATATTAAGGAGTATTTAATTAGAAGATTGAAAGAATAAAATTTTCAATCATGGCTTGCCAATTAAAAGTCATTAATTTACGTACTTTCCATTTTAATGTTTTTCTAGACTTTCTTCTTTGACTTTTTCTATACATAAAAGATACACACAAATGCTTAATTATATCTAGCAATTTAACACTTCGAATATTATTAGGGTATTATGTGTCCGTCGAAAACGCTCGTCTTCCTCATTTTATCTATCGTTGTGATAGACCACCTTCCTGTCTCAAGCTCGACGATAAGAAACCTTAAGGAGACTCAATGGTGTGTGATATCTTTGTCCGCGACGGATGAACAAATGCAAGCTAATATTGATTGGGGGTGTAGCCAAGGAAAAGTTGACTGTAGACCGATCCGACCGGGTGGAGCCTGCTTTGAACCAAACAATCTTAGAAACCATGCATCGTTTGTGATGAATGAGTATTACCAAAGTCACCACCGCACAGAAGAAGCGTGCGACTTCAACGGTACTGGTATATATATTATTACCGATCCAAGTTATGGTGATTGTGTGTATGTTTCTTAAGGAGAAAAAAAAATTAAAACTTGATTTATTATTCGTTGAATGCATGGTAGTATGAATGGTTTCGTGGATTTTGAAGTTGTTCACTTGTTCTTACAAATTATGCCGACTCGCAAGTTATTTTAAAACATTATGTAAGGTTAATGGAAAAAAACGTAATTCGTCATTAAGTTTGTAGTCAAGTAGTTTCATATCAATTAATTATTATAATTGATTATATCTGATTAAGAAATATAGTTAAAATGAATACAAAATTAATAAAAAATTAAGAAAAAAAACTCACATCTCTTTATAACCTTGATGCTCGATCACCATTGAAGAGTTTTCCTAATATAATCAACCAACATCTCATATCTCATTCTTGGATTATTATCATGAATTGTGGTGATGTTATGTAACATGATCTTCACCATATGGTGGTTGTTTCATGCTTAGCTTGTAGGCAAAAGTGTTTCCTTTCTTTCCTTTAAGGTATTTGATTATGTTGAGGTAAGGGGCATCGATCCTCATTATCTTCTTTGCTTCACCAGTTAGTGCAATCCCCTTAACTTTCAAGATTGGAGTTATCAGCCTACCAATGCTCAACTGAGAAATCTTATCTTGAGTTTTCCATGTCCATTGCTTATAGTGGAGCAATTGTTTGACCAGAATGGAGACCAAGGCTGTGTGGTCACAGTCTCCTTCCACGCGCTTCTTCTTCTTCATAGTAATGAGGTGTGGTTTTAAGCGAGGTCCAACAACTCCATTTCTTCCTCAGTTACACACCCAATCTCTCTAAATTGTGTACCACAGATCTCTAAGCTCATCAGCATTGAAGACAAAACGTTTTGCTCTTCTTGTTCTTTCCTCCTTGGATCCCAAAACCTCACTCAACTCATGGAATGTCATTTTGTATGCACTGCATCCAATCTTCAACTCATGGAATGTCATTTTGTATTGACCATAACATGTATCTACATACTGACTTCATTGACACATGATAACAATGGCTTTACGATATGGTTTAATAAATTGCCAATGATTAAGTGGGCTTAACTCATTCATAAAGCCCAAAGGCCCATTTGTTTTTCGTTTCAAATATTTTATTTTTATTCACTAAACGAATGTAAAAAAAACGAACAAATCTCAACCTTGTCAAATCTCCCTAAAACCTATATCCTTCGCCGGCCGGCGGACAATGGTTCAGTCCGGCGGCGATAATTATACTTCAAAGTCAACGAAATGGGGAGAAAACTCAGAGCCCATCCTTACTGATCTCATTATCGAGATATTCTCGAGATTGCCGGCGAAATCGGTGGCTAGATTCCGTACCCTGTCGAAGCAATGGGGGTCAATACTTCGCAGTCCAGATTTCGCCGATTTGTTCCTGAGCAGGTCCTCGAGTCGTCCACGTCTCTTATTCGCGGTGGAACGAGGCGGTGAGTGGCTCTTCTTCTCGTCTCCTCAGCCTAAGAATCCATACGACGAGTCAGTAACCGTCGATTACCACACCAAGTTCTCAGGAGACGAAAGCAGCTACCCTTGTAACTATTCCTCTGGTTTGATCTATTTTCCAGCTATGTGGCTCTCGAGAGATTTTGAGGCATCGCCTGTGATATGTAACCCTATCACCGGAATGTATGAGAGATTACCTAATCCGGTGAGGTACTACAGAGAACGAGGGTTTTTAGGGTTTGATTCCATTGAAAAGAAATTCAAGGTTTTGCGTGAGGCTCGAGATGATGCCCAATTATATCATCACAAAGTTCTGACTTTCGGAACTGGGGAGTTAAGTTAGAGTGGTGTCATCTGTTGTCCTGCATACTATCGTTCTTTGTATGAAGGGATATGCATCGATGGAGCTTTGTATTACTTGGCTATGTCAGCTGAATGGTCTTTTGTGATCATTCGCTTTGATCTTAGATCTGAGGAATTCAAGCATATTGACGCGGGATGCTTTAATGGTCATAGTAATAGATTGGTTTTGATCAACTATAAGGGTAAATTAGGTGGAGTTAACTGGAAGTATGGTCAAGCTGGTTGTGGAAGGCGTACTGTTGAGTTGTCTATGTGGGTTCTCGAGAAACAGGGATGGTTGAAACATGCCTACACTTTGCCTGAGAACGAAGAACTTGGTTCCTGCGAGTTTTCTGTTGCTGGAATGACTGCTAGAGGGGAAATTGTTCTGTGTATGAAGTATACATGTAATTCGTTTTACGTTTTCTATTTCAACCCCGAAAGGAACACTCTCCAGAGCGTTGAAATCCAGGGCTTTGGAGCTAACCTTGAAGCGCCTGAGAATTGTGGTACAGTTCATGCCTTTGTAGACCATTTTGAGGATCTTAGTGTTAACGATGCAGTGCAACTCAAGTCAAGCGTCTCTTTAGTCAAGCATACATGCCGCTGCTGTGATACGGTATTGCATCCTAATTATCATTTCGAGAAAAGGAATGAGAAAGAGACGCAGTAGGGAAGATGAAGACAGAAGAAGACAATCATTGGAGTGATATAATGAGAGGAAGGGATAGGTAAAAGCAATGTTTATGTTCGTTCTTTAGTTGTTAAAAGTTTTGTTTGTAGAAGTTGGAAGGTCTGTTTGGCTTTGGTAATGTAATGAATGCATAACGAAACTTTTGCAGAGAATCGTATGTAGTTCAGATGTTAATTGATGGAGACAGTTCTGGATTTGGATTGTGTAATTCAGATATGTCTGACAGTAGTCACTTGAGAAAAAGAAGTTTCATGTCTAAAAAGTGATGCACTTTTGTCTACACGTATACGATTTGTACATATGCATGCAAAACATAAGTTTGATATATTTCTGATACGTTTTCGGATCCTTGTTCAAAATTTCGGATCCTTGTTCAAAAAATCTCAGGCAAAGTTTCAGTAGCTCAGATGAAACATGAAGAAGTTGCCAAGCATAAGACTTGGATACAAGCTTCACGGACCTCAGTTGCAGATATGACCTGCAAAGATTCAAGAACATTGACAGAGAGATACAAACAATTTTAACCAAATCAAAAGCAGTCTAAAGTACCTTGAAAAAATGAACAATAGCCGGAAGAGCTTTTCGAGCAAAAGTATTCGTGGAAGTCTCCTTGACATCTCTCGCAGATAGTGAGTTGGATGTCGACGTTTTGAGACTGTTTTCCTTGCCATTTTGGTATCTGCGAGAAACAACCTGATCATTTCCTTTACTTCCAAAAAATTGAAAAGACATGCAATATGAAGAAATGTTGCTTGATCTTCTCTAAGTAATAACTGACTCAAGTGTTTCCTCTATTTTACCATCTAGACACTCGTCATTTGTGATCTCCTTAAGCTCGTATTGATAAGAATCTATACTGCACTTGCTTGTCAATGATGTGAATTAGCTATTTGGTTTATCCAAATAATCAATAATGATAAGAACTTTCTTGTGCTTTACCCTTTCTTCCATTGCACCGATCTTCATATTCTTTTTTTTTTTCCAAATTCAGACATGAAATTTTCCATTAGTCAGCTAATCTTATAAATTCGGTTAGAAACTACATTCAACTTTTGTTCAACATCAATTTATTCACATCAATTTATCATCCACATCAATTTATTCACCATATTACACTTTTATTAGTTGAACATTTTAAAATCAAATTGATCTTGTGGAACGTTTCGGCATTTGGTTATGAGTTTACCCTAGAAAGCTATAAAATTTAACTAGAAAATAAAATTTATTGAACCGTATAACCCATTACAATTAACACAGATTAGAGGTTTTTATTATTTCTTTAAAACGTTTAGTAAAGTATTATTTGTTTACTCTTTTATTTATCTATAAATTCTCAAGAGATTTAACAACTTGGAAGAGGAACACCACAAGCAGCGAGGACTTTCTGAGAGTTCGCAGAGTTAATGTATTGAGCAAACGCAGGGTTCTTAGCAAAACCACACAAGCATGGCTGTTGCTCTTTCAGCTTTGCACAACAATCACCTGAAGGTTGTCCTCCTCCTGTAATTGCGGCAAGGCAAGGCTGAAGCTGCTTTGCGTCACATACCACTCCTACATCGGCGGCTGCTGCTTTGATGGGAGCTGGAAATGCTGTCGAAAGTATGACGAAGACGACGAGTATCGATGCCAAGATCTTCATGTCTAATTAATTAATTAGCTTCTTATTGCTCTATGATGAATTGTTTGGATTTTGATTGTGTTTTATGTTTTTTTTTCTTAAGGAACATTTGAGGTCTTTGTTTTGGTATTATATTGGGTACCGGTTCACAGAAAAAGCATGTCTTGCATCGCTATATAACGTGAACGTAACTGTAACTAGCCGTCATGCAAAAAGAACATGTGAACTGTGAAGTGAAGGTCGAAAACAAGTAATAGTGACACACGTATCAGATTAGGGCTTGATTAGTGAGATCAAAATTATTGCAACTGTTTCCCATTCCAGTATAGAAGGGGCTTTGAGATCTCCAAATGAGAGAAACACTTAAGTTTGAATGTGTCGAGGACACAGAAAAATTATTAAATCCTATTGAATATGCTTCGATTAACACCAACGACCACGTAGATTTTATAACTCATCAGTCTCATCATAAGATATTCTCACATCTCTATATGATTGTGCTGAAGCAAGAAATGAATGAGTACTAGAAGATGACTTTTAGTTTCGTGCGAGTGAAAGAATAACATGGGAAAACTCTCATTTTGATACAAGTATTTCGAACTTTGTTTATTAACACGCCGACAGTCGACGAATGTACTAATCAAAATCCAAAAGTGGATCTGGGGGTTTATGTATGGTAGCGGTTAAAGCGTTACTGATTGTATAGAACTATAGATACAAAATAATTGTGTTATTTATGCTGCTATGCTGGTCTACTATATATCTACTGATTCTCTACTAATTCATTTGCTTTTAGTTCTTTTTTTTTTCTCTTTTTGCTAATTTGTTTTTAGTTATTTCAGGTATCTAGTTCATATGTTGCGCAGTTGTGCTGCTAGTGGCATCATAAGCCTCATGTGAATGTCCAAAAACCAAATAATCATATATATACGATCTCTATTTCTAAAAGATAGGGTTTTAAAAGTTTGCACACATATTAAAAAAAAATAATGTTCACTCGTAAATGTATAAACTTATTATACACTAAACAATTTAAATCAGTAGAATGTTTTTATAAGATGTTTGATATATATTACATAATCGTTTATTTTTTTATTTTTTTTATCCATTCATAAAAATCCCAAAAACTTCAACATCTGGGGAAAGGTATACGACAAATGTCGAAGAATTTGTGACCATTTGGCGAGCTAATGTACGATTTAAACACAGGTTTGGTCATGTATCCACACAAACAATGTCTTTGCTCACTTAACCTCATACAACATTGAAACTTCGGCGGTACACCCTCATTGATAAACCACCGGCATACCTCGAGCTGCTTCTCAGCACACCTTGGTTTTGCCATATTGCCGGCACTGGCGACTATGGTCGGACCTGAAAATGGTGCCAAGAATATTAAGAAGGCGATGACCAACAATGGTATGATCTTCCTGTTTATAACAAATTGTTTGTATTACTATTTTTTCTTATGAACATTTTGATTTGTTGTTTGGGTATATATTGGGGTTTTAAAGGGCTTTTAATGCATGGTGTTGCGTAATGTTTGTATGTGTCTTGCCCCGTTAAGCATTAAACAGCGTGAAAGTAATAGGCTCTCATGCAAAAAGAACCCGAGGCTAATATCTTTACATGTATAATAGTGCTGAGAAAATAAATCAACTTCTTTTTTCTATTCTTTTTTACTTTTCCTAATTGATATTTAGAGCTCGGCTTGGCTTGTTTTAATTCTAGATTGTGGAAGTGAGCGTTAGTCGTTATTTATCCAGTTGGTGTTAAGTGTTAACTATTGGAGCAGTACATTTACCGCCACGGGAATCTTTGCAAAGTTGACAACAGATATCGTAATGTTTTGAAGTAAATTATCTAAATAAATATTATTTTATCTAATTGGAAAAATTATTTACATATGTTAAATTATGATTGATTGACTGACATATATCACAATCATGTTAATTTTTAAGTTTAAGCATTCCATTTATATAATACTAGTATTATCACCCGTAACTACGCACGATCAATTTTTTTAATTTTAACTACTTTTACATTAAATAGAACATTACTTAAGGCCAATATTTTGAGATTGTTGACCATAACAAAAAAAAAAAAAACTGAGTCTGATTTCTCCGTGGTCTTCCCCTCATGAGTTACATCTCCAAACTGGAATTCCCTTCACACTGTGAATTTTTTTATTGCCACATTTTCTATTTCTCTTTCAAATCTCTGTTTTTATCTGTTCTTAGAAATCTTTGCGCTAGTAATACTGTAAGCTCTCGATGCTGATGCCATTTGAACTCGCACAAAATCAAATTAAAATTGGATTATGTTTAATTTAGAGGTTATACCTTTCGTGTTAATAAAGCATTCAATCAGAATAAGTGAAAACAAAGATCAAAACTTCAGTATCTATATATATTATGCTTTCCAATTTGTGTTCAAGTTTGTTCCTCATTTTACTTCGCTCCATCTCACGCTAGTTAGAAACAGAGATAGAAGCTTGGCGCGAACACGTGCTTTCTTCTTTTCAGCTTCAAGCAACTCAAGCCGTTGACTCGCTCCTTGTACTTGCTTTCTCTCGCCTTCCTCCTCATCATCAACTGAGATGTTCTCTCTTTCATTGACATTTTATTGCCTTCAGCCTTTTTGGCATGAGACTCCACTTGAGTTTCAAGCTTCACGCGTTCCTTCTCTGAGCGAACTTCCACGCTCGTTCTCGCTGTTTGTCTTGAGTCATCCAATTTCGCTAGAACCATCTGTGCCTTTGAAAGAATCTCCAACCAAAACAATGAGTGAGTGAGAGAGAGAGAGAGACTTTGACATTGTTTACCTTTTTTGTTTAGCGGCATGGAGCCTTGTCTCGATTCGATGCCCAAGGCTTCATCGGACGATTGTGAGGGGCTTCTGATTTCTCACCTTTCTCAAAACGTGGTGATAAAATTGCTGCACTTTATAGATTTTCAAGGAAAAGGACAAAAGCTTTCCCAATTAAATATGAAAAATTAGAGAAATTTTTTCAATATCTTGACCAGAAGGTACTTGCTTTTTCTTCCGCTCGACCTTTCTCTATCGTTTCGATCAAATCAGTGAAGGATCTCGATCTCTGTCAAGAATCTTGTGAATTCAACAAAAAAATAAAAAATAAAAAGGGATTTTCATAGATGAATATCAAAGAAAGAAGATAAAGAGCAGGACCTCAAACAGTTTTTAAAGTAAATTTGATCGATAATATAGTTTATATTGAGTACTGGATAGAGGAAGTTGGATTTGTGAAGAGATTGTGAAGTAGTGGGAGAAAATTTAGGAATTTTTTTTTTGCGGTCATGAATTTTCTAATTTTTTGTTAAAGGATTTTTAAAATTTTAGATATAATTTTTTTAGGTTTTCTACACTAATTTTTTTTTACTTTGCCACATGTCACCATATCATTAGTGAAGTGACTTGTGCTTTAGTATATTAAGGATTATATAGATTCATTACATTATATTATTATTATGAATTAATTAGTTTGTTTGTATTTTTAATAGTTTTAAATTAAAATTGTATTAGTTTATTAGTGTAAAATAAATATGCTAGGAATGAGATTGCACATAAATTATCGTTTAATACTATATAGTAATTTACATATTTTATTAATATATTAAAAAAAAAATTTTCGTTCGATTTAATCGATTTAAATGGTTAATAATCCAATATTTTTTTTATATATATCCTTATATATTATAAAGTATAGTACTATTACAAAAACCAAACTATAGTATTATTCTATCTCGGTTTGATCAGCTTTACCAGATTGAACACCACTTATGCATTAATTTGTTGGACCAAATTTAGTCAAAGCCTAATGATTTATTAATTTGAAAAAGTGTGTAAAGAAATAAGAGATTATACACATTATGGCTCAAACTTGTTTTAAATTACTGGTTCACCAAACAATTTAATTCAATATTAATTCACTAATTGACTCAGAATCAATTTGAATTTGTAACCTCCACATATCTTAATTATTGCCTATATTTATTGGGCAAAACTATGATACTATATAAAAAAAAGGCTCTTGTCTTTCTTATTTTGTTCATGTACTTTCTTTTCTTTACACATAGAAAAACCTCACACTATACAGCAATCTCCCTCTCTCTCTTGCTTTAGTCTTCTTTCAAAATAAGTCTGAGAGTATATCGTAAAACGATCAGTTCGTCGATTTTATAATCGTGTGCTGCGTTTATAGTTTCAAGTTGTTGTATCCTGGGATTTGTTATTTCATAAACTGCCACACTGCAGGAGATATTTCGGATTAAGAAAATAGTCATACTCGCCTTCACTTCTCATATTTTTTCCTTAATCGTATTTTCACAACGTTTTTATTAGAAAATTTTCTCTATTTATTTTTGCAATATTTGTCTCCATATTTTACACCTACAGTCTTAATCCAAAATAATCCGATCTTCACAGGATCCTATACTGCAAAATATTTTCTTTCTTAAATGATTTTCAGAAAAAAAAACTTTTTTCTCCTTCAGAAATGCTTTCCGCGACCGTCAAAATTTTCAAGATTTAAGGAAAATTAAAACGACTCTCACATACAAAGAAACAATTTCCGCGAAGGCCATTGGCAAGTTACGCAAAATGTTCTTTTTCATACAGATCCGGGACAGTGTCTAACAACTTCCCTAAAATGTCTACAACTCGTCTCGGTACGCCTTCGAGCTACATCCGTGAACGATTTTCGAGTTCGAAAACTCAAAGCAATTCTATGAACGCTTTATAACAATATCCAAATGATAACACCTGGTTTTGACCACTTTTGTGGACCACTTTCCATATATTATGCAGGTGTTTTCACTGAGTTTTAATGGTTTTATAAGTGTTTTCCATGTTTTGGAGTTTTAAAAAGCTTTTCAGGAAACTTGGAGATTTATAGTGCATTTTGGAGCAAAAGTACACTTTTGGATAAATTCAGGCTATCAAAAGTTTGGCAACCAATAAAGACCTTTTCACCGTCTGATCATCCCCAAATTTGGAGACATAATAGAGGCGACAACCAGCTTTCCAACACACTTGAAATCAAAGCAATCCAACGGTTAGATCTCCAGATATCATCAAT